ACACACACACACACACACACACACACACACACACACACACACACACATAGCGGTGTATACCCTCTCTTAGGCTATACCTTGCCCCTTTGTGACTCCTTACAAGAATGCTCCTTGAGAGTCACTCTCATCAACTTTTACCCATGTTCAAAAATGTAGATGTCTGATGATTAGACACAGGGGATGATCTGCCCTCAGCTGTACTTCCTAGGAACTTCCCTGGGGAAACTGAACCCTAAACACATCTTGATAATCCTGTCCTCCCTCCTGAGGGAGGAAGTGGGTAGCCCCAGGTAAGAAAAGACTTCCAGACTTTGCTCAGGAGTAAAGGGGTTCTTTGATTCTAACAAAGGAGAAAGGTAGGGATCAGTGGGATGCAGGTGAGCTCCATTCCATGAGGTCCCAAACCAGACGACCTAGCCCTGGGCCCCAGGTCCTGCCTGCTCAGCTGACAAAGATTCTTGCTCCACAGTTACTACAATACCAAGTCCGTGCTTCTGTGTCTGGGGATCACTGCCTTGGTCTGCCTCTCTGTGACTCTGTTCAGCTTCCAGACCAAGGTTAGTCAAAGGACCCCAAGTGGGTGGGGGAAGGGAGACCACAGGCTGGGTGGGAATCAGCAAGGTTGGGGCTATCTGGAAAAAAGAGCTCAGGGGAAGGGGTGATCTGGAGTCCACATCCAGAGAATGAGTAAAACTCTACAGCTGGGTGGAGGAAGGAGGAGAGAAAAGGGCAGTATCAAGCAAGGTTTGGAAGGTGGACAGAGACTGTTGACCGTGGAAGTGAGAGATCCTCCAAACTGATGCCCCTGTACTGGCTTCTCTCTCCCACAGTTTGACTTCACATCCTGCCAAGGCATCCTCTTTGTACTTCTCATGGTTATGTTCTTCAGTGGGATCCTTCTGGCCATCATCCTTCCCTTCCAATATGTGAGTCACCTCCCCCCTCCACAAACCCCCATCCTCATATCCCTGATCAGGCTTTCTCCACCCCTCTCTCTCCCCTTCTGTTCCCCTCCTGTCCCCGGGGGCTTGAAGCCAACAACAAGCCAGACAGATCCCTGCTGAGGGTCTGTATGTGCCTGCTTTTCCCCTGGCCTCCAGGCAGGGATGTTGGACAGCTAAGCCCAGGTTAGAAACACTGAGGGCAGGAACTGGGAGCAAGTAGTTGTGGGGGGAGGGAAGACCGGATGGTGGTGACAGTTAGACTACTTAGAAGGCAGTTGTGTCATCACCAGCAGCCCTACCCTGGGCTTGGCAGTGAATACCATGTGTACTGGCAGGACTGGAAGCTAAAGATCATGGGCAAACAAGGTGGCTTTTCTTTGGCAGGTACGGGCACCTGCCTGACTCCTCAGTTGACATCCGGTTTCACGTTTCTCGTGCATGGAGGGCTGAGGGGAGGAGAAAAATTGAAACCACAGTGAGGGTAGATGGGGCTTGGGGAGGTGGTCATCTGGAAGGCCAGACTGGCATTGATTAGAGATGCCCTAAATGGGAGGCTCTGGGGTCACCTAGAGGTCAAACAGACATAGAATAAGGGTTGGAATATCTGTGTAAGAGCTAGTACAAAAGGCTTGGTTGTTTGTTTGAGTTTGGGGAGTGGGAGTGGGAATCCACCTGCTGGGACTATGAAATCCTCAGGCTTTTAGAGTAAAGCTGCCACGGAAGAGAGTCAAGTCAGAGCAAGGGAACAGATGCAATGACGCACCATGGCTGTTACTGTTGAGCGGGAAGAGGAAAGAATAGGCTTAGGAAAGTGAGGTGTAGCTTGGGGTTCAAATACCATAGTCCCCAGGATATTGGGCTGGAAAGCTCCACATAGGTGTCTCTATCTCCTTTGCTTTCCCCTCCCCCGTCCCACACTTGGCCACTCTTCAGCTTTGGCACCAGGAACTGTGGGGAGAGGCTATGTTGGCAGCAGTCACAGCATCCTTCTCCCCCGACCTCTAGCCAAGATATCCAAACATGGATGTGCTCCCACCACCACCAGCAAGGTTGGGAGAGAAGGGGGAGGCATCAATAGGAAAGACCAAAGTGAGGGGGGGGTCTAGTTAGAACACTAACCCTGTCCCTTTCTGCCATATCCCCCGGATCAGAATTGGCCTCAAATCAGAGCCCCCAGTATTTTCTTGGCAGTTCCCTGGATCCTGTTGATCAAGGGAGGGACCGGAGCTAGACTGGGGCACCTGAGGGGAACGAGGCGGGAGTGACAGGAAGGGGCCCCCATAACATCAAGGAGTCCATTGTTGACCTTAGTTGGTCAAGCAGGTCTTTTATGTTTCCAAGAATCTGTATAGCCAGGGCCTTGAGGAAGGTGGGGCATATGTGACACTGAGGGCAGGCTAGATTCCAGTAGGGGGGATGGATATTACCACCTTAGGAAGTGTTAAGTAGTAGGGAGCCCAGGATGATAGGAGGAAGGAGATGAAAGGAATGCAGTCCTACAGAATATTCCCTACACTTAGATTCCCCTGGTGAGGAAGATAATTAGGAGGGAGCAAAGGGCATTTGATTCAGCATCAGAAAACCTGGATTTCAATCCCTGCTCTGACACTTACTGTACATGTAACAGTGGACGAGATACAACTTCAGTTTCCTCATCCATAAAATGAAGGGTAGATCAGATGATCTCTAAGGGTCCTTCTAGTTCTAAATCCATAATCCTCTGACTGCATTACGTTCTACCTCTTCATTCTATTTAAGTCATGGAAGCTTTATTAAGTTTCTATTTTGTTCAAGGTGGTGTGCTCAGCACTGATGATACAAAGATGAAAAGGGGAGAAGACCTATACACAACTAAGTTAGATACAATGTAGAATGTGATAAGGACAAAAGAGGGGTCTAACTTTATAAGAAATGAGAAGTAACCATTACTTTCAACTGGAGTTGAGGGAAGACTTCATGCCCAGGCAGTCCTAATCTCTTAAAGTTGTCCAGCAAGGACCTTCAGAGATCATCCCCTCCTTCCTATTCTCTAAGATCCTTTTCCAGTCCATTCTGCCCTTCCCACTTCTCTCTCCACTGTCAATGGAGAGAGAGCACCAGAGGGAGAGGATGCCCAGTACTTGCCATCTGGGAACTCCCAAGTCTGACAAAGACAATGGTGCCCTCAGAGGAAAAAGAAACAGAGAAATAAATGTAAGCTTTACAATCAAGCAGAAAGACCATGAGGAGGGAAAGCACTTAGAATTAATCTGGGAAGGCTTCCAGGAATGGAAATTAAGGTTGCTTATTGTTAACTGACTGAGGGAAAGCATGAAGCAAGATTTGGAAGAGAAAGAAGGAGCACATCATCCCAGGTTGGGGGACAGGTTCATGGAAAAGTTTGGAGGTAGGAGAGGGAAGGAATGGAAATTGTGTATGTTGTGTGGAAAGTGAGAGTTTGAATTGTACACGTCAAATGCACAATACTGAAAAATGCAGCCAGATTCTGGAGTTGCATGTTGAAAGAAGTCAAACTCATCAGAAGATCCCAAGGCAGCCAATTCTCCTTTTTCCAGGGGCCAATGAGTCCGAATGTGTATAATTCAGACCCTTCACTTCTCTTGATTGCTTCTCTCAGATTCATATTGGGCAGCAGGGAGATTGAGGAGATTAAATAAGTCTTTCCTAGTGGCTTCATCTTTGGGAAAGGCAAGAATTTTGATCATTTCAATCACCTAGACAAAAAACCTTAGATAACCAAGAATAGACTATTTGCTGTTTCTATTTCCTAGTGGAAGTTACAGACAGGGATTCTAGTTCAACGTAAGAAGGGGCAGGGGAAACCTTCTAACGGTTAGAGTCTGTTAGTTAATAAACATTTGTTTAGTGCCAGCTAGGTGCCAGACACCAAGCTTAGCTCTGGGGATACAAAGATGGAAGAAGGGGCAGCTAGGTGGCGCAGTGAATAGAGCTCCAGCCTCGGAGTCAGGAGGACCTGAGTTCAAAATTCAGCCTCAGACATTTAACACTTACTAGCTGTGTGACCCTGGACCAGTCACTTAACCCAGATTGCCTCACCCCCCCCCCAAAAAGGAAAAAAAAAAAAAAACAAATATGGAAGAAGAAGAAAAAAAAAGACAGTCACAACCCTCAAGGAGCTTACAATCTAATGGGAAGCTAAAAAATGAGTAGAAGGAAGGGTAGTCAGAGACAGGGCATGGAGAAGTTCAAAGGAGGGCACCTGGGTGGGAAAACAGAAGCAAAAGAGAAGGAAACAAACATTTATATAGCACCTACTATGTGCCAGGCACTGTGCTAAGTACTTTACAAATATTATCTCATTTGATCCTCACAATAACCCTGGGAGGCAGATGCTATTATTGTCTCTATTTTCCAGTTGAGGAAACTGAGGCAAACAGAGGTAAAATGATTTGCCTAGGGTCACACAGCTACTAAGTATCTGAGGCTGGATTTGAATTCATGGTTTCATGACTCCAGGCCAGGTGATCCTCACTATGTCACTTAGTTAATTAGAGCTGTCTAAAAGGAGAATGGATTACTTCAGGAAACAGCGAGTACTCCATCACTTCCAGTAGGGGTTAGAGACCCACTTGTGTAGGATGTTGAAGAGGGAATTCTATCCCAGGCATTAGACTAGATGGCATGTGAGAGCTCTTCCATTTCCGAGGCTCTGTTATCCTCTCTTTGTCTGTTCACCCTGCTCCCTCCAGCCAACCCTTTCTCCAGAGTCATTTAATTATACATTTATTAAGTGTTTGCTGAGTGTAATGTACTGTGCCAGAGCCTAGGGATACGGAGCCAGAAATGATTCTATCCCTTCCATGAAGGAGTTTGTTTTCTCCTAGGAGGATTCAGTGTGTACACAGATAAGTAAATACAAGGTAATTTGAGTTTGTATCATCAGTTTGTATCTCTGTCCCGGCAGGTACCTTGGCTTCATGGGATCTATGCTGTGCTGGGAGCAATCGTGTTTACAATGGTGAGTCTGGCCAAGCCCCTAAAGGGTCTGGGGGCCCATGCAGCCTGGGTTTTAGCTTCTCTTGTCTTCTGGTTGATACTTGCTCAGTTTCCTCCTCCACAACCATCACCAGGACGATGATGAATCATCCTCCTCTTCCTCCCTTCAAGATTATTCATCATGTACCTGTGAGTGGCAGATGTAGTCTGTAAGATAGGTACAAGAGAAGTGAAGGGGATAAACAGCAGAAATATTAAATCGAGGTGAGCAAGGGTGAGAATGGGGGGACGAATAAATGTGTCATTGGAACGATGGGTGGGATGAGCCAGGGAAGTCATCTGGACGGAGCCTTTCCCAAAGCTATCAGTCAACCTGGGAAGGCTTCCAAGAAGAGGGGAGAATTCAGAAACCATGAAAAGGATGAGGAGACATCTTGCGGGGCACATTCTGGGACTCCAGCATAGCCTAGAAGAAAGTTTAAAGGCGAGAGTAACACAATTACTAAGTGTCTGCAGCCAGATTTGAACTCAGGAAGATGAGTCTTCCTAACTCCAGGCCCTGCGCTCCATGTGCTGTGGTGCCACCAAGCTGCCCCCCAGCCTTCCTAGAGCTTACAATCTAGTAGAGTAGTAAAAATAGGTAAACAAATAACTATGTACAATGAAGATTGTGTTAAGTCCTGTGAGGGAGGCTATAAGCGATGTTCTCCCCTGACGAAAACATCACCAGTCAGTCATTTCTTTTTATGTTTGGATGCTTACTGTTATTTACGGATTACTTAGCGTGTATTGCCAATGTAAGTCTGTAGTGTAAGAAATGTGATACTTTTGTAGGGGGCGATTTTAGTTAATTTGATTGAATATTTTCAGAAGCTGAAAGAGACCTTGTTTCAGTCCTAAGGGCGGGGGGAGATCCCAACTAGTTAGTGTCGGAACAAATTCTTGTTCTACCAGAGGTGTCAGATATGTGCATACCGCCCACCACACTTCTGAACCATGTTAAAATATAATTGGGAAATATTTAACAAAATAAATATAAACACAATAAAACATAGATAATGTTAGTATGTGGTTTTCAAAGTCAATATGCAGTACACAGGGATCCTTATTGCTCTAGGTGATATGATGAGAATTACTGACTTTCTCTTGGCTCTTAATGCATTTATTTCTATTACACAATGCTTCCTTGGAAGAAGGTTTGGAAAAAGGGAATAGATAGGGCTGAGGGGAGAAGATGAGGGAGGAGGTCGCAGGTGAGGGAAATGATCAATCCAAAAGTTCAGTCAAAATGAAGTGATGCTTACTTAGCTGGAGCACAAAGCCCAGATGAGGAAAAGAGGTTGATGGAAAGTCTAGGGAAGAAGCTGATTTAAAAATAAATAAATAAACAAAGCTCTGAATTTGGATTGACTCCAAGAGGTAACAGTGAGCCACAGTAAGCTTCTGAGTGAGATATTCTCTCCAAATGTCATCAAAGGAGGATAATCCTTGTGTGGCAAGAGTGACTGAAGGCATGAATTCTTTTGTAGCCGTACAGGCATGCAGAAGGCTCTTTGTAGGGTGGAGGCTGTGGGAACAGAAACCTCAGAGGCAGGCCCTACTGGTTGTTGATACCATAGAACCTGTCTGCCAAGGGAGCCTGCCTACTGACCTGGTTTCTCCTGCTTCCCTACCACCTTTACCACCACCACCACCACCACCCCTGGTCTGGCGATGTGTTCCTGGCCTAGTATCTTGCCTTGCCATCTGTAGAGAATATTGGTGCCTCACAGGGGATCCTGGATTCCCCTGGGAAGGAGTAGAGGTTCCTGGAGGGGGCTATCTTTCCAGTCCAATCTGCTGTCCTCATCACATTCTGAATAGCTCCCAGAATTTTGGAAGGGGTTTCAGCAGCTGTCACATGGGAGCCAAACTCAAGCTGGGAAATTGATTTAAAAACTTCCTTTGTCAAGCTTCAGGATGATAAATTAAACATATCTCTGAGTCATAGTACACAAAGATACTGTAGCATCTATTTGTCCCCAGTCTTTTTATGACTGATCTAATAATTATAATATATAAAAATGTAATAACTTAATAATAATAATAATAATAATTAGGCCTCTAATTGAGGACTATTAATCTTTTTTCATGAAACTCTTTGATCACCAGGCCTCCAGTCTGGTTGGAAGGACCCCTTCTCAAAATTATGTTTTTAAATGTATAAGATAAAATACCTAGGATGATGAAGGAAGCCAATTATATTGAAATAAAGTTGTAAATTTTTCCCCATTCAAGTTCACAGATACTTCCCCCCCCAAAATTATCCATAGACCGTGGAGGTGGAGGGGAGGGAACAGCACCTTTGGACCTCAGGTTAAGAAACCTTTCTCTAAATAGACTTGGCCAGGATAATTCTGCAGGTTATATGCGTCCAGGGCAAAGGAAATAAAATTTGTGCCTTTTCCTTGTAAAATGCCGTCCACAGGAAAAAACTCACCTTTTCCTTTCGTCACTGGAAAAAACATTGGCCTTGGAAGTTGGGGCCCTGAGTGCCAGTCCTACTGTGACATTACTTGACTGTGGAACTATTTAGACAAATCCTTTGAATACTCTGGGCTTCAGTATTCTTTCCTGTTGGGTAGGATAGGGTTGGGTTCTTGTCATTGTAAAGGTGTCCCCCAGCAGTAACATTCTAGGATTGTAAGCCAGGTTGCTCCATGCAGGGGCTCAGGAAAAGGAATATAGGACTCCTGGGCCATAGGTGCTATCTGACTTACTATCTTGCTTCTCTCACCCCTCCAGATGAGGTTGTTCGTTAACATCAGTTTTCTATGAAATGGGCAGCACTGTAGTATGTGGGAGTGGGACAAGACTTATAAGAGGTAAGATAGGACGGAGTAGGGGTGGCAGAGAACCAGAGAGGGTAAAGAGGAATTTCAGAGCTGGGTCAAGACTATGACTCATGTACCCTATCTCCCTATAAGAGCTCTTTGGGTTCATATTTGCTCAATGTCCCTGGTTCCTTTGATGTGAGATTCCATCCTGAATCACCAGCAAAGGTTGGAGGGTTCCTATTCAAAATGCACCCCTGCTAGTTTCTTTGTTCCCTCGTCCCACTCCCTCAGCTTTAGCCTCTATTCTCTGCCCCTTCTAACCTTAGCCAATTCTCAAGTTTCCTCACAGTGCTCTGCATTGGAGCACTAGGTCTCAGGATGGGCAGGAAACAATAGTCTCTCTAGAAAATCTCAGTCGGTGGTGAGGTATGATCAAGAGATTGTGGACATTTCTAGGCACCCTGTATTCTCTGGAACCCTAAGATCCATATCTCCCTCCTCTCTCCCAGGCTAGGGATAACCTGCCCTTCCCCCCTAATCCACTGCCTCAACCTACTTTCTGACCAATGATTTCAGAGCCCTTGGGCACAAGAACCAAAATATCAATGAAAGTGGATGAGTGAGTCGGGCTGGAGCTTGGCCCTGGCATGAACCTCATCCCTCTTTGCCTTTCCAGCATACTTTTTATTAAGGTATTTTGAAGAACCCAGGAGGTAATGTTGCAGAAGGAGTATGGTATGACAAAGAGAGGCGGGAGAGTTCAGGGTTGGGCCATAGGCCATTTGATTTCTAGTCTTAGCTCAGCCCATGATCTTGATAGACCGTGTGGCTTTGGGCAGGATGCTTAGCTTCTCTGGGATCCCTGCCCTGAGCTATGGAGATGAGAACTTGAGTTGTCCAATCCTTTGGTTCTTTCTGGGTGAGGCAGAGGTCTCTATATTGCTAAAGTGGCAGTAAAAAACAAGCCCTTCCCTAAAGATGTAGGAAACAAATCAGGCAGAATAACAGAAATGGAATCTCCCAGGCCTTTCCCTCAGGCCCCTCTTGTGCATTTCTGTGAGACTCTTACCGAGGGCCACAGGTGACATACCAGGAATGAGGGAGGGGTTGGTGGATTAAAGGGATCAAAGGATATAAGAAGTTAGAACAGGGCTTCTTAAACTTTTTTCATTCTTGGTCCCTTCAGTGCTTCTTAGACTGTGGGTCATGACCCACTGGTTTAGAACAGCCACAAGCATTGAACAAAATAATTGCTGGGCAGTAAGATTCCAATCAAACTTCAAATATGAATTTGTTGTAGTCCTAGGAGATACAGACAATGGGAAAGATCCAGAGGTGGACACCGGTGAAGACAAGCACTGCTGGAGGCTGAGGTCCAAAGATGGCTGCAGTGAAATGCTTGGGCCTGCTTTGTCCCTGGAAGGGACCTTTAAATTATTCTGTTGTCCTTTTGTCACTGAGGAAATTGAGTGACCAAGAGGTTCAATGAGTTTCCCAACATCACCCAGCGAATTACTGACAGTCTTGGGGCTGGAAGTCAGCTTTCACTTATCTGCTAGTCTCAACTTCTTTCTGCCATGCCTTGATATCTCCATTTCATTAATGCACAAATTGTTCCTTGATTTATTTCCCCAGTATTTAGCACAGTGCTTCACACGTAGTAAACACTTAATAAATGCATTTTTATTCCTTCATTCATTGAGAGGCCTTGTAGCCTGTGGGGAAAGGGAGCCTTGATAGTCAGGAGACCTAGATTCTAGTATAGCCCATTCTGCCACTGATTCATTGTTAATGACTTTAGGCAAATCTCTTCACTTCTTTGAATTTCATTTTCCTTATTAGGCCATAGATTTAGAGGGAAAGGGACCTTTTCTTAAATGAGAATAAAAATACCTGTCCTACCTGCTTGACACACATACCAATAGCATATGTGAAAACACATTGAAAACTAAAGTATTATGAAAATTCAAGGTGGTATTATTAATAATAATAATAACGATAGCTGACATTTACAGCACTTACTTTGTGCCAGGCACCAGTTCTAAGTACTTAACAATTATTATCTTATTTATAATCCTCATTTTACAGATAAGGAAATTGAGGCAAACAGGTTACGTGACTTGCCCAAGGTCACGTAGCTCGAACATATATGAAGCCAAATTTGAACTCGGGTCTTCATGACTCTAGGCCCAATAGCCTATCCACT